CAAAAAAAAAAAAAAAAAAAAAAAGATTTATCTTACTATAAAATCACTGAATCTCAAGGCTGGAAAGGAACTAAGAGACCAAACAACTCAAGCACGCATTCGCGTTTCCTGGTGCAGTAAAACAGATGTGTAAAGCAAGTGTGCGTGAGTCATGAGCCAGTTACAAAGAGGCTATGATACCTTAAACTGCTGTTGATCTCCACACAACCCAGTCTCCATGACATATGAAGCAAAAGTCCACCGATGAGTGTCTGCCACCTGGAACGGATGAATGTCCAGATGAGTTACTCCGGGCCTACAGAGCCCAGTGCCATCCGGCCAGGACAGACCTGCTGATGGCCGCTAATACGTATCTCCAACCTTCTACACCTCGCTTTCCCCATTTTCCCAGCTCTTCTCTAATTCTGTAGACAATGTCCCATCTCTACTCCTTTGAATCCAGCTCTCCAATACATGTTGATATTCTTATTTGCCTCTTCTCCTTCTAGACATTTCCTGAACCTCATTCATAGCCATAGATATGGATGACTTCCAGATCCCTGTTCTCATCCAGATACTTGTACCCTGAAATTCCATAGCCTCACAATCATGTCACATGCAAAATACTGTCTTAGACATTTCCTGAGCCTGGTCATCATCCTACTGCCCTCAGTCAGCCAGCTAAGGTAGCACCTCAACCTTCTCCCTAGCCCTTCCTCTGGCTTCACTGCCCTCATCTACTTGGCAAAATCGTCATGATTTTATTTTTCCCCATGACAGTGTTCACATCCTAAGCCACCTCCCTAGCTTTTGTTGTAATTTAGTCTTTCCTATGGTGCATCTGGCCCTTAGTGGTATGGGACAATTCTGTATTCTGTCAATTACGTTTTAAATAAACACTGATTGGTCAGTAGCCAGGCAGGAAGTATAGGTGGGACAACCAGACAGGAAGTAGAGGCGGGGAAAGGAGAACAGGAGTATTCTGGGAAGAAGGAAGCTCTTTCTGCAGTCCTGCCCAGACCACGGCAGAAGCAGAATATGACCTGCCCCACTGTAAAAGGTACTGAGCCATGTGGCTAACTTAGATAAGAACAGTGGGTTAATATACGTTACAAGAGTTAATAAGAAGCCTGAGCTAATGGGCGAATCAGTTTATAATTAATATAGACCTCTGTGTAATTTTCTTTGGGGGCTTACCGGCTATGGGAACTGGGTAGGACATAAACCCCAACAAGCCGGTCCTCATGTTACACCTTAGCGTCCTATAAAGACCCACCAGGGTTGCCCCCACCATCCATTCTCTACCTTGTAGCAGTTTTTTCTAAGCAGCTAATTAAACCATGTCACTGACTTGTTTTAAAAATGGTTGATCCTTCCTCAGCCCTTAGCCTCTTCACAGCCCCATACACCTGGGGTCATGAAGTTCACTAGAGGAACGGTGCTCTTAGTAATATAGTCAGGGGCAGCATGTGTTAGAACATTGCCCTCTCCCACTGTGCAAAGCACATCAAAATGCCAAACAAACCGGGCATGGTGGAACATAACTGTAACCCCAGCACTTGGGAGGCTGTGAGGGAGAGATGGCTCTGTGGTTAAGAGTGTTCTCTTCTCTCCCAGAGGGCCCACTTCAGATCCCAGCACCAAGCTGGGGCTCATAGCTGCCAGTTCCAGGAGACCCAATGGCCTCCTCAGTCACTACACACACACACACACACACACACACACACACACACACACACACTTATAAAAATAAACCTTTAAAAACGGAGGGGGTTGTGAGTTCACCAGCATCTCTGGGAGATGATAAGCAATAATTACAAGTATTCTCTTCATTGGTGTTTCTTATCCTTATTCTAGGGCTCTAAGTAGTATTTGACTTCTAGAGCTACCCAAATGCAGCAAGTCCCCATGTCCCCTTTAAATATTGCACCCATAAAGGAGCCCCTGTTTGCGCAGCCACCCATGCATCTCGAAGACTCATGGTGGGTCCAGGACTCCCTCAGCCTCGTGCAGCTGTCCTCCTGACAGGTCTTAGTACTGCCCTTCTACTTTCCACTGATTGTGATCTGGACGTTCTGATTTACCATGATCATGGCCCTGTCACATCCATGTCCAGGGGTCATATATGACGGCACTCTGACCTCTCAGGTCACTCTCAGTGTTCAGCTTAGTCACCTCTATACTCTAGATGACTCATACATTTTATGACTGTATTTTAGTCACAAATGACCTGAGACACCTCACCTCAGAAATGACTGTATTATACCTATGTGTTATGATACTGAGAACCCTTGGTCTCCAGGACAGTCTCTTATATGTGACTCCCAGCCCTTGTGATTTGGGCCAGTCCCCTCCCCCCAGGAGATGCTCTCACTCTGCCTTGGGGATTCCCAAGGCACACAGCCTGCAACCTTGAAATATGCCAGGCTATTTCCTTCTTTATAGAATTCGTGGGTACTCCCCATTACCCACAGTAGCCCCCTTTTCCTCATGTGTTAGGAGGCAACTGGTCAGTAGTAAGAACTATTGCTTCGCTGCCAGCCAAGAATGGAGCAACTAGCTCATGCTGTGAATCAGCCTGCTCTAGAGTGGAGGTCTGAACCTGGTCGATTCGCCCCAGAGACATGTAGTAGTGTTTGGAGACTTTTTAAAGACAAGGTTTCTCTGTGTAGCCCCGGTTATTCTTGAATTCACTCTGTAGACCCAGCTGGCCTCGAGCTCACAGGGCTCTGCCTGCCAAGTTCTGGGATTAAAGGCACTCACTCATCAATACCCTCAGCTTATATTTACATTTATGTTTATATTTAATATTTATTATTTTATGTGTTTGTGCAGTCCCTTTGGAGGTAAGGCATGGATGTAGGACACTCTGGAACCGGAATTACAGATAGTTATGAGCTACCATGTAGGTGCCAGAAACTGAACCCTGGTTTTTCACAAGAGCAATGAGTGCAGTGGTGGCGCACGCCTTTAATCCCAGCACTCAGAAGGCAGAGGCAGGGGGATCTCTGCGTTTGAGGTCTGCCTGGTCTATATAGTGAGTTCTAGGTCAGGGCTACACATATAAATCCTGTCTCGAAAAACAACAACAACAAGAACAAAAACAATGTGGTAAGATGGCCGAGCAGGTGACAGTACTTCCCACCAAACCCGATCACCCACACGGTGGAAGGAGGGAGCCGACTCCTGGAAGTTGTCCTCTGAGCTCCACCCCTCAACTCTGGCACATGTACACACAAAAATAAGAGGATACAAATAAAAGTAAAATTTAAAAAGAGCAATGAGCAAGCACTCTCAACCACAAAGTCACTTCTCCATCTCCCAAACCTATGTTTAAAAAGAAGCGCAGAGGATGAGGTCTGTGCATGTTTAAATGGCATGATGCTTTAAAAAATTCAGCCCCAGGGCTTTCCCTAAAGAATTAACAAAAGCTACCCAAAAAGGGACATAGGAGATGAACTATATATTGTTTTAAGGATCCAAAGGCAAAAGGGAGGATTAAGCAATAAATGGGCATATTAAAAGTTGGTTAACTATTGAGGGAGGTACGATTTTCTCAGAGTGACCATATGCTTAAGTAAACTGACAAGAGCTAGAAGCTTTATCAAACACCTAGGAATAGCTAGCTACATGATAGCTCCATGGAGTAAAATAATCATAAATGGAAATGTGATATATGTGATCACAAAAGAAACATGTTTATCAATGAAATAAAGCATTTCATTAATAAAATTATAAATAAAAGGTAAAAAACAAATTGCAAAAGAATTTACAATGAATATCATGATCAAGAGGTTGTACACTTTTATTTAATTTTTTATTTTATTTTGTGTGTGTGCGCGTGTGTGTGCGCGCCCAAGGGGACCAGAAGAGGATATCAGGTTCCCTGGACCTGAAGTTACAAGTAGTCTCAAGTTGGCCTGATATGGATGCTGGGAGCTGAATTCTGGTCCTTTCAAGCACTTTTGAAGTCAGCGTCTCCAGCCCTGGTGGTTATACCCTTAAATTGTAAAAAAAGAAGAAAAAAAAAAAGTACTAAAATCAGGCCTGGTGGCTCAGGCTGAGGCAAGATCACAAGTTCAAAGCCTGCCTGGGCTACAGAATGAGTTTAAAGCCAGCCTTAAGGGCTGGTGGTATCGATAGGTACTAAAGAGCATCTCCGAGGCCCAATCACCTGCACCAAACACAAAATGCACCACATTAATAAGAAAAATGCTACAACCTCAGTGAAACTAAGTGGGCAAAAGGCACAAATAGAAATTCACTGAAAACAAATACTAGGCACAAGAAAACTATCTGACTTCATGAATAAGTTAATTTGTGAACAAAAGTATGTTATTTGTGCATGCAATCTGGAGAAAGGAAAAAATAAGAGTCATACCAGTTGGATATGGTATTACAGAAACGTACATAAACATGCAAGGTTAGAAGGTAAACCGGGGCTGGAGAGATGGCTCAGTGGTTAGGAACACCGGCTCAGTTCCCAGAACCCACCACAGGCTATAATCCTAGCTCCAGGAGTTCTGATGCCCTCTTCTGAACTCTGGGGACAGCAAGAACATGGTATACATACATACATACATACATACATACATACATACAGGCAAAACATTCATGCACATGAAACAAAATAAATCTTTAAAAAAAGAAATTTATAAAATATTTTTAAAAACGATTTGTTATCAGGCATGGTGGCCCATGCCTTTAATTCCAGCACTTAAGACATAGTGGCAGACAGGCAAACTCAGTAAGTTTGAGGCTAACATGTTCTACATAGCGAGTTCCAGGACAGCCAGCCAGAACTATGTAGAGAGACCCTGTCTCAAAAAAATAAAGAAGAGAAAAGAATGGGGAAGGAAGGGAGGGAAGGAGGGAGGGAGGGAGGGAGAAGAAAGCCAAAGAAGTTTGTAGGACCCAGGCATGAGAAGCTTAACAGGAGCAGAGCACCCAGAGGAAGTTCTTAACTTCCAACCATCATCACCTGCCGGTGTAGGACCCAGCAGTGATGAGCTTAAAGGAAGCCTGGATCTCAGTAGTTTACCCTGAGGCAATACCTGGTTGCAGGAAGGACCACAAACTGAGATTACCCAGACACCAGGCCATCCAAAGGAAATTCCTAATGTTCCAACCATTGTAGATAGGATCACCTGCCAGCACACATCCCTCAGGACACCCCTAGACAATCAGGTGTCCTGAACCTTGGAAATCCCTCACCCCCACCTTTACTACTATAAAAACCCAACTATAACTGAGCTTGGGGCTCTCCGATTGATTTATTCCAATATGTTGGACACAAGGATAGCCTGAGTTTGCAAACTTGTTTAGAATAAAGGCTCTTTGCTTTTACATACGAGACTCAGTCTCCTTGTTGGTTTTGGGGGAACTTTGCGAACCTGGGCATAACAGTTCTTATACCAAATTTCTTAAGTGGGAATATCCAGAAAGTCATCCCAAGTTTTACAGGTTCACATACAAAAATGTCTGAGGCTTTCAGGCTTCCTGGGGAGGGACATGAGTCAGTGTCTGCTGAAGAGAAAAATCCAACAGGTCCATTTTATCTGGTGTGAATCCTGGCCTAACGGCACTGCTTTCAGGCTTCCTGGGGAAGGACATGAGTCAGTGTCAGCTGAAGAGAAAAATCCAACAGGTCCAGTCTATCTGCTGTGGATCCTGGCCTAACGGCACAGAGACTTCGATGACCCCTATCTGAGTTGCTCTTCAGAAGGACTCGGGGCCTTTGCACAGACACACCTAGCAAACCAGGAAGGTCCAGATGGCTGAGAAGGGCTCAGGTAATGGTTCCTTCAAACATCTCTAGATACGTGGTTTTGATAGGCAGAACCTGGCTTGCTAAATTAGGTGTCTCTTGTGTAACAATAAAGAGGCTTTTACAAAGCCACAAGGCAGTCAGTCATCAGAAGCTATTTCGCTGCTGCTGCTGCTGCTGCTGCTGCTGCTGCTGCTGCTGCTGCTGCTGCTGCTGCTGCTGCTGCTGCTGCTAGGCCATTAAGCAATCTGGGGTGACCTTAGTAACACAGAACACCAAAAGCCTGCTAACAAAATGGGTAAACTATAGTGTCTCTAGCTGCTGCTGAACCTATGTGTTCAGTTGGAGCCTCCAGGCTGCCCCTGTAAGCTCAGGAAAGTCCCGATCCTCCTGCTCAGAGAGTTCCACATTTGCACCAGCTGCTCATGTTTTTGATTTTACCATATGTGGGCACAGACCCAGCTTGTGGAGAAACATCAACACCCCTCACCTACAATCTAGAAAACTTCCCTGGCCTGGTTCTCTGAGGTCAGTGAACCTGCCCTGGAGTTGCTTTGCTGAAGAAGTGTTATACTTCTTCAGTTTGGCTTGATCTGGCCTGGGGAGGGAGGAAGGAGAAAACCTAGTATAGTTCCTAAAACTGTTTTAAAGAACTCTCTAAGACATTGTTGGACATTTCCTACTAATGCATATGCAGGTAGTTGAAGATATTTGCCCTGGGAGCAGGAGAGATGAGTGGTTAAGAACACTTGCTGCTCTTGCAGAGTCCCAACACCCATGACAGATGGCTCACAACTACCCGGAACTCCAGCTACTATGCCTTCTTCTGGCCTCCAAAGGTTCTTCATTCATATGTCATATACACACAAATACACACAAATATACAGATTTTAAAAAACTAAATCTGGGGGAAAAAAAAAGATACTCACCCTTGGAATAATGTAGGATAGGTGAATTTCAGGACCGACAGGACATACTGAAAACAAACACAAGACTGATGAACATTTTGAATGACAGAGAATTAATAGAGCATATAATAATAATCCTATTGAAGAAATCTGAGTATTCTATATAAAGGCCTTCATTCCCCCAAGTCTGAATGGGCAAAAGAATGGCCCTCTAAGTTATACTGAAGGGAACAGCTGGGGTAAGATTATATTTTTGTTTTGTTACTATTTGCTTGTTTGTTCTTAAAACAGGATCTTATCCGTAACCCACCCTGGCCTAGAACGTGCCATGTAGCCCACCCTGACCTAGAATGTGCCATGTAGCCCACCCTGGCCTAGAACTTGCCATGTAACCCATCCTGACCTAGAACTTGCCATGTAACCCATCCTGACCTAGAACGTGCCATGTAGCCCACCCTGACCTAGAACGTGCCATGTAACCCACCCTGACTTAGAACGTGTCATGTAGCCCACCCTGACCTAGAATGTGCCATGTAGCCCACCCTGACCTAGAATGTGCCATGTAGCCCACCCTGACCTAGAACGTGTCATGTAGCCCACCCTGACCTAGAACGTGCCATGTAGCCCACCCTGACCTAGAACGTGCCATGTAGCCTACCCTGACCTAGAATGTGCCATGTAGCCCACCCTGACCTAGAATGTGCCATGTAGCCCACCCTGACCTAGAACTTGCCACGTAGCCCAGGATCCAAGTAATCCTTTGGCCCTGGCTTGCTAAGTACTGGAATTACAGGTATACCCTGATTCTTTTTAATTCTTTGTTGTGTATAATTTATTGATATAATATACATATGTGTACATGTTCATATGTGTGATTGTGGCTTAGCACATGTGTGGAGGTCAGAGGTTATTCTGCCTTCCACCTTGCTTGAGATAGGTCTTTTGCTATTCACCATTGCATATGCCGGGCTAACTGACCCATGAGCTGCTTCCTATCTTGTACAGGAGTGTAGACACACACTGTCACATCAGGCTTCCCTTGTGTCTGCCTCCTATCTTGTTTTAGGGGTACAGACACACCTATTACATCGGGCTTCTAGTGGACTCTAGGGATCTGAACTCAGGTCCTCACACTAGCGAGGCAAGCACTTTTACCTGACCACCTCTTCAGCGTTTCTATAAGTCTTTTAATCAGATTTATAGACCTTTATAATGGAGGGATTGTATTTTGTCTTTGGAGATATCTTTTTCTAGTATAAACACTTTATTTATTTATGGTCTAAAGCCATTAAATACTTTAGGAAAGGACTCTGTTAATTCTCCACACTATCTTAAAAAAAAATTAAAATGATGCAGCCAAGCCAGGTGCAGTGGCTCACCCCTTCAAGCCCAGTGCTGAGGAGGCAGATGCAGGAGGAGCTCTGTGAAGTCAAGGCCAGCCTGATCTACAAAGCTAGCTCCAGGCCAGCTGAAGATACAGCGAGACCCTGTCTCAAAAGAAAGGAGAGAAGAAAAGGAAAAGTAGGGAAGGAGAGCAGGGAGGGGAAAAAGATGGAGGGATTAAATAGTAAGAACCAATGGTATTGAGGATGTTCACAGATGTATCTTCCCTGGCCTATCCAAAACTCTCCCTGAATAAGTTCCTACATGCTCCAATTACAGATCACTTCCTGTGCTGCATTCACTTGCATCATTCAGTGTGCCCCACCCTATTTGTCCCTGATCCTTCTATTCTGAACTAGAGAAAGGATTAAGAGAGGCCTGGGCATGGCCTGAACACCTACAACAACCTTAATTACAATACCAGCATTTTCTCAATGTGTTGTGTGCTTAGCTTTAGTTCACAAACTGAGGGAGATCTAAGATGCTGACGCTCCGGTGGGGTGTAGGTCAGTGGCTGAGCATATATCTAACATGTGAAGCCCTGGGTTCTGTCCCTAGTATAACAAAATAAAACAAAGTACTGAAGCTCTCATCTCTTTTTTAAAAAGGCAAAAGCCTCTGAGTTTGAGGTCCAAGACAGCCAATCTTGAAAAACAAGAAAGGAAGGAAAGAAGGGAGGGAGGAGGGAGGGAGGGAGGGAGGGAGGAAGGAAGAAAGAAAGGAAGGAAGGAAAAGGAAAGAAAGAAGTCTGTTGGTTGGTAAATGGCTCGGAGGTTAATAATGCTTACAGATCTTGAAAAAGACCCCTCTTAGATTCCCAGCATCCACATCGGTTGGCTCACAACTACCTTTAACTCCATCTCTAAGAGCGCCAATGCCTCTGACCTCCTCAGGCATCTATCCTCACAGACACACACACACACACACACACACACACACACAGGCATGCAATTAAAAATATATATTTTTTTAAAAAGAAGTCTCTGACAAATTGAACTTTAGCTCTAAAATGTCTAGGTAATCCCCGCATTCAGGAGGCAGAAGGAAGATTCCAACCCAGCCCTGATCACACAGCAAGGCCTTATCTTAATGGGGAAGAGGGTAGGGTTGGTGAGATGGCCCTAACCACCAAACCTAATGTAATGACCTGAGTACACTCTGAACTGACTTCTGCAAGATGCCCTCTGACCTCTACCGGTGTCCCATGGTGGGTACACCCTAACACATACGAACATTAAATAAATAGACAAAGGCTGGAGAGATAGCTTGGCAGTTAAGAACTACCTACTGGCTACTCTTCCAGAGGATCGAAACACGTGACGGCTCTCACAACCATCTGTAAATCTGTAACTCCAGTTCCGGAGTATCATATGCAGTCTAGGCTCTGCACACTGCAACACACGCAGCACAGACATACATGCAAGCGAAACAGCCATATGCATAAAATAAAAATAAATCTTTTTAAAATTAAAATAATAATAAATAATAGCTGGGCGTGGCGGTCCCACTATAAATCCCACAGAACTTGGGCGGTAGAGGCAGGAGCATCCACTAAACTCAAGGCAACTTCCCACTCTTATCAAAATAAGAGTTTCTGCCTCTCAAAATTTTAAACCCTTGGATGGAGCGGAAATACTTGAAAAGGAGATAAAGACTAAATGAGTCAATCTGTGGAGTAAGGGCTGATAATCTTTTACACTGCTTCTGGAACTTTGGGTCCTGGCAGAAGGCTCTTGGGGGCGGGGCAGAATGTTTCTACCTTCAGTTCTTCTTTCCCTGAGGGAAGAGCAGCATCTGTTAGCTTTCTGATTGTTTGCGTATATATGTATTTATTAACTTGAGACAGGGGTTCAAGTAACCCAAGCTGGCCTCAAACTCGCAAGGTAGCTGAGGATGACCTTGAAGCCCGCATCCTCCAGCCTACACCTTCCAAGAGCTGAGAGTGTAGGTGAGTGTTGGGGATGGAGCCCGAGGCTTTGCGCACGCACGGCCACGTCCTCCTGTTGAAGACAATCCTCCAAGTCGGAAACGAAGTTCCGGGAAGCGGACTCAGAATCGGTTTCCTCGCGGTCCCCGTCCGGACCAGACAGCCCGGGGCAGCTTCTGTGACGTGGACCGCACGGCTCGCAGCCCACGCGCAGTCGCGGCCACCCGCACGCTCACCTTGTTCGTGAGGTGAGAAGCCAGGTAGCAGGTGCAAAAGGTGACGCCGAGCAGGGAGCGCCTCCCGATCATCTGTCAACTCGCTGGGCTCCCCGGGACAGGCTGCGCCCACCAGCCGGACCCCACCCAGCCGCCTCGGTCTCCGCCGCCCTGCCACGAGGCTCCGCTCCGCCAATCAGCGAGCAGCTCGCCCGGGCGCCGCCTCCTTAAAGAGGCCGCTCCTGCTAGGACACCTCAGCTTCGCCTCCGGCCCGGGGTCCTCTGAAAGGCGAGACCTCTCCAGCTGCCGGTGGTAGAAAATGGTGGAAAAGAAAGTAAGCACGTTTCCACCAAAGACGTCACGGCATTTCTTATGGTTTGAAGAAAAATAGCCATAGCTATTACTGAATGACTGGATGAAAATGCTCGAGGCTTTACCGAATTTTTCCGATTTTCTACGTTGCTTCCGTTTAATTTTGGCAAAAACACAAACAAATTAGCCACGGTTGAAGTTAATTTTAAAGTGACTAGCGAGATGGTTCAATGGTTAGGAGTGGATATTGTTCTTGAAGAGGGCTGCAGTTCGGTTCCCAACATCCACCACCTCAGAGGATCCTGCTGGACTCAACAAGTGCACAAGAACAAAAGTACGTTCTGAAGTACAACATTCACATAACCAAAAATAAAGTAAATCCAGAAATACTCTTAACAGAAGCTTGAAAACGGAACTTATCTGTAGGTAACGCCCAAGACCTGTAATCGCAGCAGGTGGGGTAAGGACGCAAGTCAAAGGTCACCTGGACTGCAAAGGGGATCTAAAGCCAATTGGGGCTGTGGGGCTTTGAGCCACAGACAGGAAGGGAGATGTCTTTTTCAAAGCAGAATTTTAAACATAGCCGGGGTTGCCAGGGCAGGAAATTAACGCTGGTGTGGGCGAACAGTAGGAAATGAACAAGAAGACGTTGGCGATTTGCGTGGTTAATAAAAGGTGGGCCAGAGGGATGGTTCAGCAGGTGAAGACGCCTGCTGCCAAGACAGACTACTTCAATTCCAGAAAAAAATCAGGAGCAAAGAACTGATATGAAAGTGTGGAGGGGCATCACCGGTGTCCAGGGGAGTGTGAAAAATAGGGGTGGATAGCATTAAAATGCATTGCATGCACATGAAAAGTTCAAAAAAATAAATTAAAATAGACTTTAAGCTTTGGTTTGTTTGTTTGTTTTTTTTTTTCTAGACAGGGTTTCTCTGTACTTTTGTTCCTATTGTGTTAGGTTCAATCTCTGTGATGGCTAGTGTTAACTTGACAGTAACTGAAGTAGGAAGAGCCACCTCAAGCGGAGGCACCACTTCCTTACTGGGTGGTGGAAAAAAGGGAGCTAAGGGGGCGTGTCCATTCATTGCTCTCTGTTTCTGCCTGAGCTGTGATTGACAGCTGCTCACGCTCCTGCTGCCTTGCCTTCTCCACCAGGGCTATACCCCTGACCATGAGCCAGAATGAAATTTCCTCCTGTCAGTTGCTTATGTCATGGAGTCTTTTTATGCTCACAGGAAAGAAGAGACTCAGACATTAGTTTGGCAATTTCCCTAAAGATACAAGAAAGTTCAAATATGTGATTATTGATATTTTGTTACTTGATTTTACTTTAAAGTTCATACTTTTTCAATACCAGAATGTGGACCTGGCTTGTGACCAAATGCAAAACTGCTGGCTAAATATTTATCAACAAATGTTATGAAAGATTATTGTTGGGTTGAAGAGATGGCTCTTCGGTTAAGAGCACTGGCTGCTCTTTCAGAGGTCCTGAGTTCAACTCCCAGCAACCACATGGTGGTTCACAGCCATCTATAGTGGGAGTGGGATCTGATGCCCTTTTCCGGCAATAAAGTTGTATATGAATATAGAGCACTCGTACATGAAATAAATAAATCTGTTTGCGGGTTTTTTGTTGTTTTGTTTTTTAGTTTTTTGAAACAGGCTTTCTCTGTGAAACAGTCCTGGATGTTCCAAAACTCACTTTATAGACAATGCTGGCCTCGAACTCACAGGAGTTCTACCTGCTCACAGAACTCACAGAAGAACTACCTGCTTCTGCCTCCCAAGTACTGAAATTAAAGGCGTGTGCCACCATCACCTGGTAAATAAATAAATCTCAAAAAAATATTATTGTTGTTCCTAAACACATCCAGAAATTCCAATCAAGTGAAACAGAAGAAACCCAGAGCGTATGACAGTTTAAAAAGTTTCTACCACAGGACATGGTAGCAAACACCTTTAATCCCAGGCAGAGGAAGACAGATCTCTGAGTTCAAGGCCAGCCTGGTCTACAGAACAAGTTTCAGGACTGCCAGAGGTACACAGAGAAACCCTGTCTTGAAAAACCAAGTCGAAAAAGAAACGAATGTTTCTATCCTAAGTCACAGAACATGAAACTCATATTAGCTTAAATAACAGCAATGTGTTGGTTCATTTAGAGAGTACAAAGTCCTTGTGCTCACAGATAAGCACCAGGGATGTTAAACATGCAGAGCTCTCTCTAAAAAGGAAGAGATGTATAAACTGTTTCCTGCCCAGAAGGCTGGTGTCTTACTTAGGGTTTCTATTGCTGTGAAGAGACACCATGACGCTGGCAACTCTTATAAAGAGAACATTTAATTAAGTGGGGGCTCACTTACAGTTCAGAGGTTCAGTCAGTTATCGTCATGGCAGGGAGCATGGCGGCGCACAGGCAGAGGTGGTGCTGGAGTTGTATGTAGCTCAGGGTCCTACATCTTGCAAGCAATCAGAAGTTGACTGGGGCAGTAGGTAGTATCCTGAGCATAGGAAACCTCAAAGCCCATCCCAACAATGACACACCTCCTCTAACAAGGTCATACTCACTTCAACAGATCCACTAATAGTGCCACTCCAAAAAAAAAAAAAAAAGAATAGACGTGGTTAATACCTAGTGACCTCCGCATTATCTGTACGGCCAGGCTACACCTGACCGCCCACAGACTTTTACAAACAGGACCTGAGGTAGTAAATAGCCTAGTGACCTTTGTGCTAGCTGTGTGATGGAAACCACACCAGGTTCTCTCCCAGACCCTCAAGATGACACGTGTAGTCTACACAGCCTGACTATATGGAAGAGGTGACATGTACTTTGAAAGGAATTTCAATATAATTATGCCTTAAACTTTGTTGTGCATGCAGGATTGTGTTATACCAGGAAACTTTTTCCCAAACTGTACTGTACTTAAATATGCCTAAAATAAAGTGTCCAGTGTAAGATTCTAGAAGATTGAGCCAGCACAAGCTATTGAGTTGAGTTGAGTTGAACCCGAGCTCCTTCTGGCCTTACATAAAGGTCTCTGCGGCCCTGGTGTTCGCAGAGACCCAGAGGTTCAATGCGAGAAAAACAAAAAAAACCAATAGAAAAAAAAGAGAGAGAGAGAGAGAGAGAGAGAGAGAGAGAGAGAGAGAGAGAGAGAGAGAAGAGGGAGAGAGGCAGGGAGGCAAGGAAGGAGGAAGAAAGAAAGCCTAGAGTCAGACAAGCTTCTAGTACAGTCTGCTCCAGATATTCGACAATGATGCCACTGGGGACTAGAATGATCACAGACACACGCTTCATTTAATCCTTAGATGTTTGGGATAATGTTTTAGTACCCTGTGTGAAGATGTGTCTGCTCTTTCTCACCTGCCTAAGGCATTTTCTAATTAGTTTAATAAAGAGCTGAATAGCCAATAGCTAGGTAGAAGAGAACAGGAAGGGCTTCCAGGGAGAGATAGAAAGCCTGGGAAAGAATCTGAGGCTCAGGAGATTCGCCAGCCAGACACAGAGGAAGTAGGTCACGTGGTATTGAGGAGAGCTAACACACAGCAAAATGTAGCTTAATATAAATAGGTTAATTTAAGTTTTAAGAGCTAGTTGGGAATAAGTCTGAGCTAAGGCCAAGCTTGTATAATTAACAAAAGTCTCCACATATTATTCATGAGCTGGGGTCCAAAGAAACACCTGCAGTGCTTTGGATTTGGTTTTGCACCATCATTGTCAACAGTGACCATTCGTCCTCCTACAGGCTTCTTAGTGCGGGTGATAAGCGCTACAGCAGCCGACTATGTTAGTTAGCCTTTCTATCTCAGCAACAAACCTCTGGGAAGATTGACTGGGGGTGTGACAGCAGAGCAAGTCTGGGCAACAGTGCCCATGCCCGGGAGCCTGCCCTTCTTCCCTCCTTCTTTCCAGCCCTAACCCTGTGAGGAATGCTGCCTGCTCGGCCTCTCTCGGCTGATCTTTCCTAGAAACACTTCACAGAATACTTGGGGCGTGCTCTCCTCACCCTGCTGACAGTCAAGGTTACCCATCACATTGACCAGCAAAGGTGGCTCAGCAGGTATAGTAAAGACATTTCTTCAAAAACCTGGCAACTTAAGTCCAATCCCTGAAACTCACGTAAAGGTGGAAGGAGAAAAACAATTCCCACAAGTTTGACACTTTCAATTTTTATTGAGCTCTGCATTTTTCTCTGCTCCCCTCCCTATCTCTCCCCTCCCCTTCAACCCACTCTCAAGGTCCTCATGCTTCCAATTTACCCAGGAGATCTTGTCTCTTTCTTTCTTTTTTTGTTTTTGTTTGTTTGTTTGTTTTGTGGTTTTTTTGGGGGGTTTTTTTTGAGACAAGGTTTCTCTGTGTCTTTGTTGCCTGTCCTGGAACTAGTTCTTGTAGACCAGGCTGACCTGGAACTCAGAAAGATCCACCTGCCTCTGCCTCCCGAGTGCTGGGATTAAAGGCGTGCGCCACCACCGCCCGGCTAGATCTTGTCTTTTTCTACTTTCCATGTAGATTAGATCCATGTAAGTCTCTCTTAGGGTCCTCATTGTTGTCTAGGTTCTCTGGGATTGTGATTTGTTGGCTGTTTTTCTTTGCTTTATGTTTTAAAACTACTTATGAGTGAGTACATATGATAATTGTCTTTCTGTATCTGGGTTATCTCACTCAAAATGTGTTTTCTAGCTCCATCCATTTGCCTGCAAAATTCAAGATGTCATTTTGTGTGTGTGTGTGTGCTACTCCTTTGTGTAAATGTACCACATTTTCCTTATCCATTCTTCAGTCGAGGGGCATTTAGGTTGTTTCCGGGTTCTAGCTATGGCAAACAATACTGCTATGAACATAGTTGAGCACATGTCTGTAGTGATATGAGCCACATGGCCACTTCCTGCTGCCCAGCTCCCGCACGGCTAGGTTTACCCAAAATAACAACACACAAATTGTATTCTTTTAAACACTGCCTGGCCCATTAGTTCTAGCCTCTTATTGGCTAATTCTCACATCTTGCTTTAACCCATATTTAATAATCTGTGTTGCACTACAAGGTGCGGCTTACCAGGAAAGATCTTAACCTGTGTCTGTGTTGGGTGGGAGAATCATGGTGACTGACTTCACTGCCTTCTTCCCAGCATCCTGTTCTGTTTACTCTGCCTACCTAATTTTCTGTCCTATTAAAGGGCCAAGGCAGTTTTTTCTTCTGTCTTTTACAAGTATGAATCTTACCTGTTAAGTTGAGAGCCAATATAGTCAAGCTCGGACCCAGCTCTCCAGACAGATTCTACAGTATAGTTATAACTCATCTATACCTGGTAAACAGCTCTCAACTGCTCAGAGATCTGGGGAATATGGCATTTAAATATTTACTTATTAAAAAACTTTTCATAGCAAAAGGAGACAGGTTGGCTCCTAGCAGCAGCACTCTACTTCCTCCAAAGAAGACAGAAGACAAATGGGCATACAACAACGTCCATCCCCAATTTGCTTCAACTGTCAAGTGCTGACCACGGGGAAAAACTGCCTTTCATATAAACTGAAGATCTCCAGATATGGACAGAATCACTGGAATCAACAGCCTAGCTGCTCAGGTCAAGGTAGGCTTGTCTTTCTACAGATTTTCTACAGAAGATTTTCCAGGATCTTCTGGAGCCTGGCAGGCCTTGCGCTAAATAGTAAAAGGCAGTAAGAACCTCAGTGACCATGGAGGACCCTAAGGAGTAGCTCTAGGTGCCAACCAAGTAAGTTCTCTGTCATTTTTTTTTTATCATTAACTCAAGTAAAATTTTATCCTTCTCAAATATCTCTGATACAGTTTGACAGCTGAGAGGTTTTGTAAGTTTAAAAGGACAACCT